GAGGGGAGGCAGGGCCGGCCCTGCTTTGAGGCTTTCTCTCTCCTGGGGTGTATTGTGGCCATGGTTATCGCACTCATTCAGTCAGAAACTGCTATTTCAAAAGTGGCTCCTGCCAGGCTTTTGTGTCTCAGGCAGTCTCTCCGCTGAGATTTTCTATAGTTGCTTAATCGGTTACCTTTTATATGAATGACTGCCTTTTCGTGTTCTCTGCTTTTCTCCAGTGCTTTCATGACTCCGAGGAGCTGCAGGGTGACTGGGGCTACCCCACCCTGCCCAGCTGGCCTGCAGAACTGGAGGCTCCTCCCGCAGCTTGTGCACCTCCCACCCCACCTCGGGGAGACCCTGGTCCCAGGTCTCTGGTTTGGAGGCAGGAATCTTAGCTATGTTTTCTAGGACCTGCTTTCCCAGGGCCTGAGTGCCCATCCACTCTCCCTGTGCCAGGGAGACTTGCCCAGGGGCAGTGTGAGGCCTCAGGAGAATATAGCGGGTGACCCAGGGAAAGGCCACGTTCTCAAAGGCTGCACTGTCCAGGGACGTGTGCCCATGCCACGCCATTTCCCCTGCCGGGTGCTCCGTGGTTCCCTGGCTCCACTCGCTTGTCCCTAATGCTCTCAGAGGCTCTGAGGCCCAGGCAGGCTGGCAGGTCCTGAGGAACAGTGAGGCCTGGCCCTTGGGGCTTCCACAGGGCCTGCTTGCCCTGTGGCCTCCCCGTTCCACGGGCTGTGGGAGAAACAGGAATCTGCTTCCCCTCACGTGGCAGTGCTTGGGGTCCTTGCTGGAACCTCAAGGGCCAGGGGGCTCTTCACGCCACACCTACCGCGGCACTCAGGCCGGCCACCCACAGACAAGCCGGCTGCTGACCACAGCCCTGGGTTCAGAGAAGATTCTAGCAGCATGACCTTTGTGGGCCAAGTGCTGGGCGGGAAGCGGGGTCTGCTCTTGGAAACAGTGCTGGGAAGGCTGGCCCTTGGTGTCTGTGTTTCCCTCCAACCCGCTCGGGCTCACCTGGACCAGACCAGAGAGAAGCGCATGGGTGCAGGGCCGCGGGGGTGCAGGAGCGTGGGGGCCTCTCATGGGGGCCTCTGGGCTGCTCTGTTTTTCTTTGTGGGGTTGGCTGATTTGTTTGAGACTCGGGGCTTGTTCTTGGGAGGCAGGATACGGGCAGTGAGGTTTCCTGTGTGGATAATCAGGAGAATAACGCGAGTCCAGGAGCCCTGGCAGTGGCCTGGCTCACAGTGTCCACCATCAGCCTGGTCTGTTCCAAGGCCCGAAGCATTGGGCACTGTTCTGCTGAGGCCCTTGGGGGTGAGTCTGGGAAAAGGTATAGAAAAGGATGAACAGGAAGACACGGAAGCCCTGTAGTTTCCGGAGATTGAGGAAGATTTGACTAGACCGAGGTCAGGAGCTGGAGGGCTCTGCCTGCAGGGGGTACACAGAGGCTGGGAGCTGGGTCATGAACTAGGCCAGCCAAGACGAAGTCCGTCTGAGGGTGTATATCCTTGTTTTTGTTTTTGTTTTCTTCTCCATTGGACTATAGGAGGGCCCTCCAGGGTGAGTGTGGTTAAATTCCTTCCCTCATGGGTTGTCATTCTGTTTCTCCTGACCTCTCAGTCAAGTCTCACTCAGCCAGCCCACCTGCTGCTGTGTGGAAAGAAGTGAGACTGATGCTGCCAGCAGGAGATGGGCCTTGGCGCCTGTCCCTGGCGTCTGTCTAGGTGACGGAAACCCACATGGTCCTGGATGCAGTTAGCAGCATAGAGTGAGGTTCTAAGGAGTAGCAGTGGACGGCATGAATGTTACTTTCTGGAAGGTACGCGGTTCCCGCACCTAGACAGTGCTCTGTACATAGCAGTGATTCAATAAATGCTGAAGGACACTTTAGCGGTTGTCGTCACTAAAGATATGAGAATATTCAATGTATACAGGAAAAGATGCCTACAATCACAAATCACTAGATAAATGCAAATTAAAACCATAATGAGATACCACTACACAACTACTATAAGGACTAAAGTTAAAAACCCGACATTATCAGATGTTGGCAGGGATATGGAGCTGCTCTGAAAACAATATGGTAGAATCTCGGGAACCAGCAGTTAGCGTAATGGCTATGTCGCTGGACTCCCACGTAGTCGACCGCGGTTCGTGTCCCGGACCCGGTGGCTTAAAACTCACGCTGGGCGCATGTGCGTGCGTGCCCAAGATCCCGAGAGGAGAATGGAGGAGAAAGGATTGCGGCGTGACCATCCCCCCTGGGGGGTGATTTCTCGCTTTCTGTCTCTATGTCTCTCTCTGTCTGTCTGGCGAGCACACACGTCCTACAGTGAAAATCTCTCCAAAAGAAACCCAAAAAACCAATATGGTAGAATCTTGTTAGTTAAACTGTTCTACCACACAACCCGGCAAACTCCAATCCTAGAGAAATGAAAACCTACATGCTTACACAAATTGTGATGTGAACGGTCATAGTGGCATTATTCACAAATAATAAAAAATTGAAAACAAATGTTCATTGACTGGTGAATAAACAGATTATACTAATTCTAACTCAGTCACAAAAAGGGATGGCATATTAGTATATGATCCAACATGGATGAGTCTCAACAACATTATAAGAGAAAAAAAATACAAAGACGATGTACTGTATGACTCCAATGATATGAAACTCTAGAAAAGGCAAAATTATGACAGAAACCAGAGCAGTGGTTGCCTGGCATTGAGGGTGGGTGTGCAGATGAGCAGACAGAAATGTTCCAGAATGAAGAACCTGCTATTTTGATTGTGGCGACAGTAATACACTTTTATATAATTACCAAAATGAATCAACACTGAACATGTGTGAATTTTATTGTATGTAAATAATAATTAATAATAATAAGTTTTAAGAAAATATAATCCACATTTTGATAAATCATGGGCAAACTTCTGACAAACCAATAATAAAAAAAATTGAAGGCAGCCACAAACATAACAGCCAGAAGAACAAAGATAAGAAATACTGAAGACTTCTGTTCAGAAACTATGCAAGTCAGAAGACAATGGAGTCAAATCCTAAAGTACTGAAAAAAAAAAAGGAAATCTAGACTTCTATACATCTATGCTTACTAAATACTTGTGGGAGAATTTATTGGGGGTGTTTATTTGGGTGACCTGAAAGGAAACACTATAAAAATGCAGCTTAATATTTGTTAATAAACCATACCACCAGTCTTGAGACTGGCTGTTACTCTAGGATGTGAATTTTTCTTTTTTTCTTAAAGAATTATTTTTTATTATTTAACTTTATTTATCCATTTGTTTATTTGAATTTGACCAGAGAATGATAGTGTGTGTGTGTGTGTGTGTGAGAGAGAGAGAGAGAGAGAGAGAGAGAGAGAGAGCATGAGAAAGCAAGCTGCTATGTCTAGGACTCGAACCGTGGTCGGCCTTGTGGGAGTCCAGCACCCTTAACCACCATGCCACCCGCTAGTCCCAGGATGTGAATTTTTCTAATGTGAAGGTACAATAAGGACTTTCAGACAAATAAAAGATAGGACACTTACTGCTAACTGCACTGTGCTAACTGAACTGTGCTAAAGAAAATACTAAAATAAGTTCTTCTGGGCCTGCCAGGTAGCCTAGTGATTAAGGGAGCTGGAGCCCACACAGCTGACCACTGTTCACATGGCACCCCAACAGCTTGAGTAACATTCCAGGTATGTGTGCATGTGTACCTGAAGTCCTGACAGGGTGGAGAAATGGAGGAGAAGGGATTGCAGAGTGATCATGCCTCACTGGGGGTCAGGGGTGCTTTCTCTTTCTCCCTTTCCACATCTCTCTCTTTCTCTGGAAAGTCCATGTGCCTTCTGGTAATTAAAAAACCAAGGGGGGCCAGCAGGTGGCATGGTGGTTAAGGTATTAGACTTCCACATGGATGACTACAGTTCGAGTCCCAGACCCGGCAGATTGAAACTCACGCCAGGAGAACGGAGGAGAAAGGATTGTGGAGTGATCATCCCTCCTGGGGGGTGATTTCTCGCTTTCTCTTTCTCTCCAGCAAGTTCATGTGCCCTATAGCAATACATAAAATAATAAATAATAAAATAAATACATAAAATAAATAAAAGGTGAAATTTTAGATCTTCATAAAGAATGGAGAACTGAAAATGGTCAAGACAAAATAAGTAAAAACGTTGAGAAGATACTCCTTAGAGGAACTGAAGCCACAAAGCTCCCAGGGGCTGGAAAGATTTCTGCAGTGCCCCAGTGCATGGCGAATGGGATAGGAGGAGCCTGTCACACACACCTACGCTGGCTGTGAGCCCAGAGACCCACTGGTCCTCAGGTAAGGTAGGCTGGCGCGGGATTGTCCTGCTTCATAGGGACACACAGGAAGCAGGTCACTTCCCAAGAGGCCATAGTAAGTAGCAGGCTGGGGATATTCTCTTCCCTGCCTCTGGACTGCCCCCACAATGCACCAATGCCTGGGACAGCACCCAGAAGTCTAAATCAAGCTGTGCAAATCTGGGGAGTTACGTTGCCATCTAGCCCTCGGGCCGTTCCCTCAACCCAGGGCTGTCTGCTTCCCCAGGCTGTCGCTCGCGTAGAGGGCAAGGCTGCCACTCGTCTGACCTAAAGTCGGGACCATGCTAGAGTCGCAAAGGCCTTGGGCGGAGCGCCGGGGGCCGTGGGTGGGGCTCTGCGGGCGGACTGAAGGAGGGGCTTCCCGGGCGGACAGTGGGAGGGGCTCCGCGGGGCTGTGGGCGGGGCTCCGCGGGCGGGCGGGGGAAGGGGCTCC